GGAAGTCTGGAACCTTTCCTGTACACTTTCACTTTCTCTGCATGAGCAAAAAGATATAATTGTCACATTGCATTACAATTGCTTGTTTATCTGTCTTTGGCCCACAACCAAATTTTAAATTCTATAAGGACAGTAGTAGTGTTCTTGTTCATTCATTCATTGAACAAGCTTTACAAAGTACCCGGTTTGTGTTCTTGCCCTTAAAACTCAAATCACTGAAAGACTAACAGAAAGTTGACTAAATATTAGTCAGTTCTTTGAAAACAGAACTTTCTAAGCATTGGATCTTAGTCACCAAGAAAACACTCAAAAGAGTGTCACATAGAAAAACACTCATAAGAAAAAACAGATGCAAAAAAAGAAGGGAAACTAATATCTGGAGAAAAATATGACAGTTAAAAATATTTATTATATAAAGAAATAACATAAATGATAACCAAAATGATAAAACTATAAGAAAGGCAGAGAAGTGCTTTGAACTAGTAATTATCTGCTTGGTTGTCAAGCCAGAAATTTGGGTTTTATCCTTGTTTCTTCTTGCCAACTTCCCGCAAACTACCATAACTTTGACATCACCAGCTCAGCTCTCTAGTTTCTTAGCATTTCTCTGTGTCCATTGCCTTCAGAATTAAGTCTGAGCTTTTTCACATGATATTTAGGTCCTTTATCACCTACCTCTCTTACCTTTGGCCTTGTATCATGCTAGCCCTTTATTTGTACTCTTTAGGTATTCTGAACTATTTCAGGTTCCTAGAACACTTTGGGCTTTGTCTATGCTGTGACTGTGTCCTGGAATCCCCTTCCCCACCATTACAAGACTACATATTATCAATCCTTCATATATGTATTTCTGTTCCTGTAGAAAACATTATTTTAATGAATTACATACTACCTCTTCTCCTTTGGCTAGCCTCTTGTAGATCCTTTTTGTACTAGTGTGACATATCAAAAGACAACCAGAAGGGCTGGGGATGTGGGTCAAGCGGTAGCGTGCTCACCTGGCATGCGTGCGGCCCGGGGTTCAATCCTCAGCACCACATACAAACAAAGATGTTGTGTCCGCTGAAAACCAAAAAATAAATATTAAAAAATTCTCTCTCTCTCCCTCCCTCTCTCTCTCTCTCTCTCTCTCTCTCTCACACACACACACACACACACAAAAAAAAAAAAAAAAGACTCTTTTTACTGCCCTTCTCTTTTCTTAGAGAAAATACTAGGCAGTGCTCAGGCGTTCTACCCTGCTTCAAAGCCCAAGATGAATTTCTGATTCCTTTGGTGAGAGCCAGACTCCCTTTGGGTCAGTCTCTTTCCATAGGAATGGAGATCTGGATCCTTTTGGGGGGCATAGTGATGCACAGTTATAACTCTCTTCCTTGTTCAGGATACTGAGGGACATGTTTCTCTAGTACAGACAAAGGTGTTCATTGTACACATCTCACAAAGTTTTTGATTCTTTAGGGTGTTACTTTTTCTCCTCATTTACTCTCTCTTCTAAGAAAAGGACCCACAGGTCTTGATAAGCTTGCTGAAGAACTATTATTAGTTCCATCTGTTCCTGTGAGATGAAAAAAAAAATGACACAGTGATGTCATTATTGCAGAATTTTCCATAGGGTCTCCATAACACCAAGAAACTAAAGGGAAATGGATTTAATGGACTTGTTTAGCATAATGAACAGACTTGACCCATCTTCTGAAAGCTTAGCTAACCCGTACTGATCTACTTTGGTGATACTGGCCAAGCATATTGGAAAAGCCTTTTTTTATATTTATGTACCTATCTGCCCACCTGCCTTATGGCAAGGGTTATAAAGTATGTAGGTTGCCTGACACTCTTTGTAGTTGCATCAATCTCTGAATTTCTAAGGAAACTACAGAACCAGGGCACACAATTGGCTGCAGAGAATATGGGCTACTTTGATATACAAAAACTAAAGGGCCCAGAGTAGAAGGTGATCTTCCAAAATCAAGGGTTCTCAGAGTCTCGCCATCTTAAGAATCTAAAAAGATCCTGATACCTATTCCAAAGTGGTGTTCAGGCTATCACAGATCTGAGGCTGTGTGGATGTCCATGATGTGTAACTTACATTTCCTGCCAAAGTTTAAAGGAATCACTCATTCCAGCCTAAACAAATTAAGGTTGATGTTCTTGGGTGTTAAAGTCAGTTTGAAATAAAAGATTAAGGGACTGTCTGTTAGCCAGAGTATTATTAACATATTTACCCACAAAATTTTTTTTTTTAATTTTAGTAATCCTTCTATTACACTGATGTAAGAGTACTTTACAAATTCAAGTTTTTCTTAATGCTGTCTTCTATCCAGACAACCAGCAGGCTGGTCCTCAGAAAGCAGATTAGTATTCAGTAATGGTTTTACCATCTTCCTGTTGTCAGTGTAACTTCATCCTAGATTGATTCAACCTGTGCAACAGGGAGTTCTTAGAGAAAAAAGTTTTCAACAGAAAACTAATCCATTTCTCAGGCCCCAGTGTTTTCAGTCTCTGGAAAATAATGCTAAAAGATGCTCTTATTGAAATTGTTTGTTTCTGGGATTCTTTTTAAAAGATAACATTAGGGACAGCATGGAAAATAATTTGGCCTGCCAATGTATACATACTAAAAATACTAGTTTTTTATTAAGAAGAATTTGCACGGTATGGTAAAGAACCTAGGAAGGGCTGAAAAACTCAGCATTTAGTTAGATATTGTAATCTCTTAACCTGTCTGTGAGATAGAGTTAACTTGTTAATTTATCTAATATTATTTTTTGTATAAAAAAGAATGACGATAAGAAAGGACTTGGATCATCTATCTTCAACCAGACAAAAGTTACAGGTGTTTACAAAAAAGTAATTTTTGCTGCCCAGTGAATTGTTTGAGTTCACATTCCTCAACCTATTTTTATTTCTCTCTAGCTTTTTAAGATTATATGCTTTTTTATTTTTGACAATTAAAAAAACTTACACCCTCTTTAATCCTTGAAATTTGAAAATAAATGTAGTAAACAAAACCAAATCAATGCCACATTAATTTTGGACTTCTTCTCCTGTCTCAGAAATTCTGAAATGATTCCCCAGGGGAAACATGTCCCTCATCCCCCATCCCAGTTGAAAAGTGCTTTAACAAACCTACTTTATGTGACAAAACTATCACTCATTTTTGTCATAATTTTGACTGAAGTGAAAATAGTCCTGTAGCATATCTAGAAAGTTACTTAATTGTGATTCACCCAGATAACCTGTTTTGGGGTTTTAGAATTATATTTTAAAATAAGTAAGAACAGTGACATGTAATACAGGTAGTAAATGTCTTGCTGTCTTTGGAGCACTGCCTTTATCAAAAATTCCCAGTCTAGGGATATTATGGTATTGACTTTTTTCTTTTCTGATTTCTGGGGGAATTATAATCATGGTCAACAGATCTGGGCATATCTAAATAGCAAGATAGATTTGGTAATTGGAAAAGCAAAATATAAACCAGAAGTTCAAACAGACAGTATTCAAAATTTACTGATCATCTGCAGCTTGTGCCCCTTGTGGGAAAGAGCAGCATTTATGGTTTCATTGAAACCATGTGCTGTGTGTGCAGGAAGGAAATGCATGCTGATCAGAGGTCAAAAGCATGATGAAGGAAGTTTGAAGGGGAATATTTACTGTGAGGTTTCTTGAACCCCTAGCATCACTGGCGATGATATTATTTCTGGTAGTCTTGGTGGAAACTTGGACTCATCCAGATTTGTTACATCATGATTCCAGGGGGAGACATGAACCAGAGCTGTAGCCAGATACAGGCTTCTGTGTGCTATGCCAAGAGGTACAGAAATAAGGAATGTAGGCTTTGACCAAAGAAGTATTATGCTGGGGGCACAGAGAGGATTTAGCACCATGGAAACTGTAGTCAGTAGGGTCCCATGCACAGGAAAGGTCCAGAAATCAGGCCCTGAGCTGAACAGCTAAAAGACCTAATAATATTCAGCCTGAGTTGAACCAAGGTAGAAGGATCTGACAGATTCCTTAAAAATTCTAAGAGAATTTAGAGCAAATGGAAGAAGCGTGTTTTCTGTGGACCTTTGGATAACTGAGCTCAAAAAAGTTGTGGAGATGGGAAGACAACAGATTTTAGCAAAACATAAGTAATATTTTCTTACACTTGAAGCTCTCCTCTAATTTAGTGGGGTGATGAATTCTGGATGCATTCAGGTGAGGTATCAAAGGGAGGTTTCCACACTATGTAGCCAGACAGTAGGAAACCTCTCAGCTGCTTTCCAGTTGTGTGTCTAAAGCCTGTGCTTCAGTTCCCCTCCATCAGGCTGACTGCTTGGTCAGGTGATTTCCCATCTTTCTACCCCCGCCCATTACTTGGCCAACTGAAAGCAGAAAAGTGGTGTCCTTCTTCCTTTCCTTGGTTGTTTTTGCCCAAGATGCAAAAGCAGATGCTGACTAAATACGCCTACCCTTTTCTTCTTCTTTCACCTTTCCTCAAACCCTATAACTGCTTCTTCCCTCCTCCCCTCCCCAGTCTTTACAATAACCCATAGACACAAAAGTGGCCTTGTACATGTTTCTTAATGTGCTTTAAAATGTTGGCCATTTATATTCTGGGTGTGAGATTTAGATTGTCCATTTCATCTCTCCTGGGGTATTCTGTCTGCTGCCATCTGCTCAAAGGCAAATGAGTATCCTTCAGAGTCTCATGCAACGGTCAGCTAGGAGTCTGGAGTAGATTGGTATGGAATTGGCTGAGGAGTAGTTTAGGTTCAGGTACTCCATAGCAACATCACATAATTAAGTCTCAAATTTCCTTTATCCATATGCAGTGGATTAGGCAAAAAAAAAAAAAAAAAAAAAATAGAGACATGTTACAGCTCTGCCTCATTCTTTGCAACATTTTGGAGGTGTTTGGCCCTGAGACATATATACCAGGTTGATAGCTGTTATTTTTCTAATATAAATTCAGAATTTAACTATCCTTCTTGACCCTATGGATCTTTTTCTCCCTGCAGGAATAGGAGGCTTGCAAGACTTCGTGCTAAAATCCGCAACACTGTGTAGCCTGCCATCCTGCCCACCATTTATACCACTTAACTTTGAAGCCACACCTATTGTGAGAGTTGCTGTTGAGCCAAAGCACCCAAGTAAGATAATCTTGTTTTTAAAAGCATATGATATTCATTACACTTTTTAAATGCATGTTTATTATTTGACTTCACATGATTTATTCAGCAACATACCATGAATTTTTGTTCAAGAATATAATAGAAGCAACCCTTCAAAGAGCATCTGTCATGTTGGTACTTTTGCTTTCCGGAGACCATATTCTTCTTGATGATAGGTTCATGTCTGCATCTTCCATAACCCTGGCATAGGGTTGTAGCTCAGCAAAGCTCATTTGACTACTTCTGAGTTAGAATCTTATCCCAAGCTCATTGGTTCACAATCTACCATCTAAACTATCTGTTTAGAAACCCCTTCTTGTCCCTTTTCTGCTGGCAACAAGATTTCCATGTCTGACCCTAAGATAATGATCCTTGGTTTGGGTGTTTCCTATTTGCCTGGCCAATCCTGTTAATGTTTGTATTTCTCTTTTGGTGACTGTCACTGGCCCCTTCTGCCTGTGACTTTGCTGTTTGCAGTAGTGGTAGTAAAGAAGCTTCATACCTTGCTTTAAGGGAACTAAAGAACAAATGTGTAAAGGAATAGTTTTCTGTTTGAGGTATGCAATGCGCCTGTACTTGCCTATCCTCACTTCCCAGAGCTAGAGTCCTGTAAAGACTCATCTTCCCTTCAAGTTCTAAGACATATCTTTTGCTCTTGAAGGGTTCCTGGAACCCTAGAGAAGATGCTTGGAGGACTGCACCTCTGACCTTTGAGCTCAGTCCTAGTAAACAGTAAACAGCCTTTGCCTGGGGCTTCAGAGACAGGAATTCTTTCTGGGTTGTCACTGTGGACTGATGGTGCTTTGACTGCTTCTGTAATTTACCCTCTCCATGTAAAGTCCACTTCTTCTTTATAGTTTTGAATCCAATCCTAAGAAGCACATATAGTACAAGAAAGTTCAGTTTCTTTAAACAAGACTAATGAATATTTGACTAATGAATAATTTCAGCTATACTATTTTAATAGAAAGTTATAATTTTTAAAAGGCTATTTGATAGTTTTGTGCTACTCTGTGCTCTATTATCCAAGCCAGGGAAAAAGCCTAACCCCACAGGGGCAGCAGAAACAGCTTCTGTGCAGCTTTGCTGTGTGAGATGAGGGTCCTAGTAACAGGCTTATTTCCTGTCCCAGCGCGGACTCTCAGTAAGGTTAATTTTCCTTACTTTGTCCGGAAATGAGGTAGTCTAATAAGAGAATTACCTAGGATTATCCATCTGAAGGCCAAAGTGCATATTCTCATGTATTTCATTTATTTTTCCGAACTTTGTAAAAAATAAACTAACGAAGGGCCACACAATTGTCTTCATAATTTTAAAAGAAGTGTTGGTCCTCTCTCCTATCAAATATTGCTTTTGCTGGATTTACGAGCATATCTTGATTGTGTAACTGAAGTACCCAATTTACATATTTCATTGTTTGAATTTTGTACTCACCAACCTGTCTTCTTGGTGTGTCTATAATGTCAACATCTTAGTCTACATTAAGAATATCAGAAAACTTTTCTTAGTGCTATCCTCAACCCTCAGAGGATTTTTTATTTTCTGTTTTCTCTTTGCCCTAGAATCGTATATTCATCTTTACTTCAGGGCAATTGCTTCTTTTTCCATGATTTCCATGTCTAATGATTATTGAAATGTTACATCCTGTAGCAAGACTCCCTAATAATACTGCCCCTGAGGAGCCCTTGATGAAGCCATTGTTATTCAACTTGAATAGAACATGTATCCCCAGAGCCTTTCTTCTTTTTCATCATGAGAAACTAGGCGGACTAATCCAGGTCTTAGCATTTTACTCTTCTTTCAGGGAGAAGCACATTATAAGCATTTGTTTTTCTATTTTTCTTTTTCCCGAATTCTGGGCCATGATGGCCAGTCTGTGCTTCGTGCCCAGGGTCTACTCAGAACTCAATACAGAGAACCACCAGTGTTCCAAAGACATTATGATTTTTATCATTACCATTGATCCTTGATGTATGCCACACTCTATACTGAGGTTTTGTATCTCATTTAATCCTCTCAACAGCCCAATGCATTTAAGATGCTGTTTTTATCTTCATCCTCACATGAGCGAAACTGAGGCATAAAGAAGTTAATTAACTTGTCTAAGATCATACAGATATTAAATGGTGAAGTCCAGATTCAAACTCTACCTCAGAGACAATTCTGAATCTTTACCTTTAAGAGGAATTCAAGAAATCTTGTCTATCTAAGATCAGTGTCACTGGCTTCCAGAAATCTTTCACTCTTTATCCATAGCAGTTTTAAAGAGAGAGAGAGAACTTTATATACCTGTGTTTTATATAGGTACATAAGTTTTTGTGCTAGTGTTTCATGTAAATTATAAGACACAAGAAATAGAAATTATTTAAAAGTTGAAGTTAAAATGAAATAATCCTAATTTTATTTGTTTTTGTTGGATACATACTATATAAATATACATACCCATATGCATAGGGCGTATGTATCATTTATTTGTGATTGTGATGTGTAATCACATTAGTCATCTAATACTGGATAACACATTATTCCAAAATTTAGTGACCTGAAAGAACACCAATCATTCATTTTTTCATAGTTCTTTGGTCAGGAATTTGGAAACAGTTCAGTTTTGAGTCTCTCAAACGGTTGTAGTCACCTTGGGCTACAGCCATCTGAAGGTGTAACTATATTTCCAAGTCACTGCTGGCTAGGACCTCCTCTCCCCAGGGGCCCCCTTCACAGGACTGCTTTAGTGCCATAGTATAGCTTGGTGACTGGCTTTAGCCAGTAGTACAGAGTTCACCTTTGAATCCCATCATCACTGGCCCAGAATTCTGTTGGTCGTGCAAACCAGTCCTGAATCACTGTTGGAGAGAACTATATAGGATCCTGAATATCAGGAGGCCAGGGAAATTAGGGCCATCTTGAAGGCTGGTTACTATATTGCTTTATTTTTTGTAAAAATCTTGCCTTAGCATTCTGTGATACGGCTATTCAGAGGTCTGCTTCTAAGTTCCCTTTGTTAAAACATTGGTTTTAATGGTTATCATCACTGGAAAAGATACCTCACAAAGTTATAGTGTCCCAAGGGAAGAAATAGACCCTCAGCTGTTTTTACTAAATTGTGGTATTGTTTCAGAATGCCATTTACCATTTATACAAAGCTTCTGTTAAAATTTTCTACTTTTCCTAATGTCAGTAAGTAGGAGGGTTTGATTTTTATGTCTTTAATGAGCTATTCATTTGAAAATTTTTTTAAACAAGGTAGGAAAATCACCTTCCAAATATTTTTTAATATTTATTTTTAGTTATAACAATATCTTTATTTTTTTTATTTTTATGTGGTGCTGAGAATTGAACCCAGTGCCCCATGCATGGTAGACAAGGACTCTACCTCTGAGCCACAACCCCAACCCCACACCTTCCAAATTTTAAGAGGTTTACATATGAAGTGTTTGTTATTTTGTGTTACAGAATGACGATCAATGGAAACATATTCCAATATCTAATTTGAAAATGTGTCTCCTTGCTTCAAATATCATTAAAAATATATTTTTCACTCACTGTTAAACTATTATCTTTACCTTAAAGAGACAGGGGTTTGTGCATGTGCACTCACACATGTGCATTTGTATGTATGTATTGTGATTGACTGATAGCTGAAAGAAAGCTTAGCCTTAATTATTATTGTTGTTCCATTGTGCTTGGGTTATTAATATTGCCAGTGGTCTCTTTCTAGGAATCTTTTTAAGCCACGTTTCAGCTTCTTTGAAGGTTAAGCTAATATCTGTAAGTCTACTTAATTAAGCAAAAAAGGGCTAGGCTGTGGCAGAGCACTTGCCTAGCATGCATAAGACTCTGGGTTCAATCTCCAGCACCACCCCCCACCCCCCCCCCAAAAAAAAAAATTAAGCAAAGGAAAACTGCATTGTGCTTAAGAGGAACACACAAAGATGACTTTTTTGATCCTGTATACAGGATCCTTCAGGATGCATGCATCCCAGACATGGCTCATGTAATCTGACCTATGGAATGCTGGCTGCCATCTGTAGAGCCCGGACTCTGTAGCTGGCTAACTGGCTTCAGAACCAAGTTCTACCATTTGGTTGTTCTTGACTTTGAGCACAAATTTCTTATATTCGCACTTGTTTATTCACCTACAAAATGAAACTATTTAATCATACCTGCCTCATAGTTAATCATATTGGTAAAGTGCTTGCCAAGACATTGTTAGTGCTATAAAGTGTTAGTTATTATTAGAAGAACTTTATTTCAAAAATAAACAGGTATAGAAGTTCTAATATTCTCTTCCTGCCCCCAAATTAATAAAACTTTTGTGAGGCATATTGAAAACCACAATCTTACAGAAAGTTCTTAAGGTTTTACATGTTTCACACATTGAAAACCATGCATTGAAGAATTGCTAAGTATTTTGGTCAAATGTAGAATTGAAACAGTACTACATAAAAGTGCCCTCAAAGTCAAAGCAGCAGCAAGAGACTTCCTCTGGCCTACCTTGAATGAAGAGTAACAGCTACATATATGAAAAGGAGTGAGAAAGAAACTGAATTCAAGATGTATATCACAGTCCCCATCTGAAATCTCAGCTCCCTGAACTGTAGGGAAGCAGCAGTAGTACACCAAACACAGAAGCAGAAATGAGGGCAAGAGTTCCAGTAGTTCCTTAGTAAAATAGCCAGGTAGAATACTTAAAACCGACATTTCTGCCTAGTGGTTTCACAAGTAGTTATTTTTAATATGAAGCTCTGGTAAAGTTTCTTGAATGTATTAAATGCTTCTTTTGCTTATTTGTTTGTTTTATATGTACTATTTGAGAAAGTATTGTTACATTTCTAAGCGTATAATATGTACTTTTACAATAATATTTAGTTGAATTTACAAGCATAATAATAGTTTATATCTGCTGAGTATCTGAAGAAGTGGTATTGGTCAGTTTTGGAGTTTTAATGATAAGCTTGTGAGTATCTCATGTTAACTGTCTATATAAATAAATTAGTAGAAGGTAGTTTTTTTTTTTTTTTTCTCACATCACTGCAGTATTTAGAAGAAAAGTTAAATGTTCCTCTAAGAGTTTCATTATAATTTTCTTGTCAGTGACTGTGGCTATCACCTTTAGATGGCATTAATCCTTATATCATTTAATCAGTATTTCATTTTATTAACCTAGGTGAAATGCCTCAGCTTGTGAAAGGAATGAAGCTGCTAAACCAGGCTGATCCCTGTGTCCAGATTTTAATTCAGGAAACTGGAGAACACGTTTTAGTCACAGCGGGGGAGGTCCACCTTCAAAGATGCTTGGATGACTTAAAAGAAAGGTTAGATGAAAATGTTAGAGATGGAGAAATGAAATATTATGTAGCAGTCACTGCACTATGTAGAGTTCTGTTTATCTCACATAATCCTTAAAATCAGTCTTATAGTCGTGGTATGACAATAACTAATAATCATGATAGACTGAGGCAGCTCCTGTGTGGCATCATCCCTATGGGATTTTGTGGGCTCTCTTACCAGGGAATGTTGTCATGTCTATTCTTCAGTTTAAAATGGTGTTGTTGTAGGCTTTTTCTTGTTTTTAGTATTTTTATAGCCATAATTAGTACAAAATCAGAACGTAAATCTTTCCCTTTCACTTTTATCACCATTTTCTTGGATTTTCTAAGTGTTTTAATGTTCATTGGAGAATAATATTAATTAGGTAAATCAAAAGGCATTTTGTAGTTTAAATAATAACTTCTTAGAGGGTTTTAAGAAGCCTTTGAAATATTTTTTTGTTTGTGTCTTTGAACTAAATTATTTTTCCTTTTTTTATTCTACTCCAAATTAAAGTCCACATTAAATAACTTTTCATTTCTCAGGTTACTAACTCCTTTTTAAAAATCATGCTTTTTGGTTTTTAGAATTAGATTTTTAAGTAATTTCTCCACCCTTATGCCCAAAACTGATTGTTTTTAACAGAGTTACATATTTGTATCTTTTTTTTCATTTTTATTTCATGATTTTAACTGTGGATACTTTTTAATCTTGGGAGAGGAAAAGTAAGAGAAATTCATTTTCTAGAAATGTGCCCTGAACATGGTATTAAAATATTTTAAATAAATATAAAGGTCAAAAACCAATCTATGTAATCCTTCTAAAAAATATTCATATCCAAATACCTAAAAATACTTTAGAGTTACATTGAATGGGAACAATAAAAGCAATAACATTTCTACTTTTGTAAAAAGTATCTTCTGCTCTAACAAGACAACACCACACAAATTGTGAACTATTCCTTATGTGCTTTCCCTAAATTTTCAATTTCTGAAATTGCTGCCTCCCACCTGCCATCCCAAACAAAAGTTTCTTTTGCATTGTGGCTTCATATGATGAAAGAATGACCTCAAACTCAGTGTTACCTGTCAGAACTCAGAAAGGTAACCAAGGAGAGAGAAATATCCCTGTCCCACATACATGAGTGTCAGCAGAGAAGTCAGCTAGAGCAAGTGCAGGTAAGTGAGGGGATGATGGACAGACCCACGGGGCAAATGCAGGCTGTGTTTTATGTATATGACACAGGAAGTATTGTCTTTGAACTCTGGGAAAGCTGCATCAAGTGGTGTTGACATTGCATCCGTTAATATCCATTGTCATGTGGAAGTTGAAGGCACCTTAGTGATTGGGTACTAGATACTTTGTCCTGGACAAAGAAACATAAGAGAATGTCATTAGCTGTCTCATGCCAGTAAATTTAAAGGAAATGAACAAATTCCTAGAAAAATCTTACCAAGAAGAAATAGAAAATTATAGTCCTGTAACTATCAAAGGAATTAAAGTTTGAATAACATTAAATATTTCAGTCAATGTAAATTCATCAGATTAACAGGAAAAAAAATGAGTGAAATCACCTCATGCATGATCAAATCTTAGCATACCAAGAATAAAATAGAACTTGCTTAAACTAATACCAGTTGTCTTCAGAATAATCCTAGCAAACATATACTTACTTATGAGATTTTTGAAAGCTGTCCTTTGCAATCAGTAATAAGTAAAGGACCTACTATTACGGATTCTATTTAATAGTTTTCTGGAGGTTTGGGGCAGCATTAAAGAAAAGAATAAAAAATTTAAGATATTGAAAATTGAACAGGGAAAACTAAAACTGTCATTTGCAGATGATATGGATTAAAAATCCAAAAGAATTTATAGACATTATTAAGATTAGTAATAAATTTAACATGGTTGCAGAATTAAAGTTTAATATGAAAAATCTATTTTATTTCAATGTAGTAGATATATGCAGAAAATGAAAACTATTTTAATATTACCATTTATAGTCACAACAAAAATATCAAATATTTAGGAATAAAATTTACTCATTTATAAATCCTGTATGCAAAACACACACATATACATACACACAAAAGGAGTACATGCCATCTTCGTGGCTTGAAAAATTCAGCAATATAATGAAGTCCATCCTCCCCAAACTAATTATAGATTCAAAGCAATCCTGGTGGATTCCAGTGAGTTTATGTTTATGTATGTTTGTGGATTGTAAAATTTCAATGGAAATGCAAAGGGCCCAAAATAACCAAAACACCTTGAAAGTAGTAGAACAAGGTGGGAGCTCTTGGTGTACTGGAAATAAAGTCTCGTTTTAAAAGTTACAGTAATTAAGACTACATTAGATTGATACAAGAATAAACAAATAGATCAGTGGACTTTAATAGAGAATCCGGAACTGGGTGGCATTGCAGAACAATGAGAAAAGGACAGATTTTTCAATAAATGATGCTGGCAACTTGGATAAGCTTCTTTTTACAGCTTCCACACACGTTTTTAGGAATGGCTTACATACAGCAGTGTACTGTATAGAAAAAAATGAAACTTCATGCCATCCTCAGAAATTTATTTCAGGTCGATTATAAATTTAAATGTGAAAATCAAAACTTTGCCAGTGTCTACAAGATACTATGAAACAGTATCTTCAAGACCTCAGGGTAGGAAAAGCTTCTTAAATCCAATATTAAAAGACTAATTGTCAAGTAAAGATTTGATCATCAACAAACCCTATGAAGAGAAGAAGAAGACAAGCCAAAGGTCAGAGAAGACCTTTGTGATACCCATAACAAACTAAGGGACATGTGTCCTCGTAAAGAATTTCTAAAATAAAATTAGATAAGCTGCAAACCACTTGAAAATAGTTAAAAGAGTTGCGTAAGTACTTCAAGGAGATCTAATGGCTAATAAACATAAGAAAAGGTATTAGACTTATTCATAATAGATGAAATACAAATTAAAATCAAAGTGAGATGTATATGTATATTCACAGAGAGAGTGAAATTTTTAAGTCACATTATCAAGCAATGGCAAAGATGAGGAGCAATGAAAATTCACCTATGCTACTAGTGTGGGTGAGAGTTGATATAGTATGTTGGAATATGGTTTGGTATGATCTGCTAAAGTTGTATGGCTGGGCAGATCTCCCATATCTATTCTGTATATGCACACACAAAGCTGGGCAAATGCACGTCAATAAAAGTACTCATAGCAATAAGATTTTTAACAGCCAAAAGTTGGAAACAACTCAAATGATAAGTAAATAAATAAATAAATTATGCTATAGTCATACAATGGAATTTTATAGAATAATCTCAGAAAGAAGATTATAGCTGCATAAGAGATGAATCTCATGATATAATATTGACCCAAAAAAGATAATTACAAAAAATATTGATTTTTATTTGTGTAAAGTTCAGAAAGCAGTAGCTGTATCATATAGGAGTTTCATGTTTAGGTGATAAAAACAAGAAAAAGGGCAGAAGATACCAATAAAATTTAAGATAGTAGTGACCTTTATGGGATTAGGCAAAGGCACTGGGAGGGAGTGGTACTTCTGAGAACTAGATATGTTCTGTATTTTTTATATGGGTCATAGTTTACATGTATGTTCACTTTGAGACAAGTGATCATAGGTCAGTAGATTTTTGGTTTTTGGACCATTCTACATGGCTACTAAATTCTCAGTTATATTAGTAACATGTATAAAATTCTAGAATTTTTGTTTGTTTGTTTGTTTGTCATGGGACAGAGCCTGCCTTTTAGCTTCTTTTTACAGCTTCCACACAGATTTTTAGGAATGGTTTACGTACAGCAGTGGGAGACTGTGAATACCACCTGTCATCTCCAGACCAGAGAAACTGTCAGAGCCCTTAGCATCAGATCTCAAGGTATTAATGAGCAGGTAGGACAGGAAGCCACAGGAAGTTTTCATGATGGAGTCTGAATCTGCTTCACTTATTTTGAAGTGATGATAGGCTCTGCTTTGCTGGGATTTAAAGACCCTCTGCTCCTGAACCAGGCCCACACTTCGTGTGTTAATCATATAAGTGATTACTTTAGAAGACATCTTGGAACCTCAGAAATTTGAAGGACTTAAGTGGCTCTTAGTTTTTCTGACTTTATAATACAAGAGGACAATGTCATAGATATATTTTTCCCTCAAACTTTAAAGCTTTGCTGTTGGTTTTCTTGAATGTGCTTAGTATACGAATATATATTCTGTAAATAATGATAATTTTAAAACTTTCCCCTTTTCTAAGATTTCCAAGTTTTTTTTTTGTTGTTTTTTTTTTTAAGTCAAGAATAGGTATTGGGTGAATTCTGTTCCTGTTTCTATTCAGAATTCTGTTCCTGTTTCTATTCATCGATAAATCGTTACCTCAATGATAAAAAAAAAGAATAGGTATTGAATTTTATTGAATGCTAATTTGGCATTTTTCAAAGATGATTACATAAATTGTTTAATTTGACATTTTTAATGTGGTATTAAAGGATCTAGTAGGAATTAATTTTTATATATCTTATGATAAAAATTACTTTGTTGCAAATTTTTTGATATGCTGTTTAATTCAGTTTTTCAGTAGAGCACAATGGCTGAGTGTGGATTATGAAGTCAGAATTAGATTTGGATCCTAGCTTCTCCATTTACTAGCCAGTTGAAGAAGATGCCTCCTCTATCTTATGATTTTCCCCTTTACAAAATAAGAATTCACCTTGTGAATTCTGCAGCAATATCTGTAGCATTGAAATGAGTTAATCCTTGAAAGTGAAAAAAACTTAGTGGCCAAATCTTTCTATTGGAAATAACCCTTTTTTCACATTTTTATTTTCTTTCATTTGTTGTTGTCTAATTCAGGTTCTATGTTCTGAAATAAATTTGGATATCATTATTTCAGAAAACCATCCATTTATTGAGTTTTCAGACTTATTCAAAGACATAAAATCGAATATATTAGGTACCTACCCCACAACTACAAAATATGAAGGCAGAAAGAAATCTAGAATCAAATGTAAGCATGTCAGAAATTCTCAATGTTAAGTTTCCTTATTGAATAATATTTCCCAGGGAAAAGTAGTTCTCCAGAATCCTAGAAGCCCATATTAATGTATATGTGTACATGCATACACATACATTTATACATGTTTCCACCCACATTTCTAATAGCAGATGTACCCAGACCAAAACTTTAGTGTATTAACTGGCAGAAGTAAGAGAAAAAGACTTCTGGTTTTCATTGTAATCAGAATCAAACCATGTCAGTTTCTAGACTCTGTCTTGTGTGGATTTATAATTCACTTGAAAAAAAAAAAAAAGCCAGCATGAAACTAAACTTGACATCATGTGAGGAAAAAGACTTTTTGAACTTGGTGCTATTGTGAGGCTCAAGACCCGTGCTATACAAAGCTATTTAAAATAAAATTGAAGTCATAAAATTTAATTTCCAGTTCTTCAGTCACACTAACCATGTTTCACATGCTTAGTACCTATGTGTGACTATTTAAATAAAGCATTCCTTTCCTAAGTTTTACTAGTCACATCTGAAGTATTCAGAAATCACAATGAAGATAGAAAATTTTCACCATTGCTGATCATTTGGAAAGTCTTGCTCTTGACATATTCCTGTGTCATGCTGGCCTTACTCTGAGCCTAATTATCAAAGCAAAATCTGTCATAAGGATTTGACTAGTGATCCTGAAAGTCTCTGATTCTCTTTCTTTAGAGCTATAATCATTGGGCTTTTATTCTTCTGACTCTCAGATTGGCAGATTTTGTTTTAAAGACTTTATATGGTCAAATGCTATTAAAACATATATTTTCCACTCAAACATACCTATCTAAATAGATGATTTATTTTTCTCAAGAATGAACAAAGCAGTGAAATTCCATTACAAGTGAAGAACTCCCTTGAAGGTATGTTCCCATTAGAGGGGTAGTCTTTTCAATCTGACATGAAAGTGGTTTTTGAATTGTGATATAATGTAAATTACAGATCCTGTGCAGTAAAATAAATTTTATGTTTCTGTTTTGTTTGCACAATTTTCATTGCATAATATGAAGCTTTGATGCCATTTTGATTATAAACTTATGTTATCTCTCTTGAATTTGTAGGTTTGCAAAGATTCATATCAGTGTATCAGAACCCATTATTCCATTCAGAGAAACAATCACAAAACCCCCTAAAGTTGACATGGTCAATGAAGAAATAGGCAAACAACAAAAAGTTGCAGTCATACACCAAACAAAAGAAGATCAAAGCAAAATCCCTGAAGGAATCCAAGTTGACTCTGATGGGTTAATCACTATGACAACTCCCAATAAACTTGCCACCCTCAGTGTTCGAGCTGTGCCCCTTCCAGAAGAAGTCACTCAGATTCTGGAAGAAAATAGTGATTTGATTCGTTCCATGGAGCTGTTGACATCCTCTTTGAATGAGGGCAAAAATACTCAGATGATTCATCAGAAGACCCAAGAGAAAATTTGGGAATTCAAAGGAAAACTAGAGCAACATTTAACAGGGAGAAAATGGAGGAATACTGTTGATCAAATCTGGTCATTTGGCCCAAGAAAATGTGGGCCTAACATACTAGTTAATAAAAGTGAAGATTTTCAGAACTCTGTATGGATAGGCCCAACTGGCAGATCTTCAAAAGAAGCCAGTAGATACCGAGATTTGGGCAATAGCATTGTGAGTGGTTTTCAGTTAGCAACCCTCTCTGGCCCCATGTGTGAGGAGCCCCTCATGGGTGTCTGTTTTGTTCTGGAAAAATGGGACCTAAGTAAATTTGAGGAACAAGGAGCAAGTGATAAGCAAAATCAAGAACAAATTGATCTGCTAGGAGAGAGACAGGAAGAAGATAAGATTCATCCTATTGGAGAGGAAAACCAAGAGGTACAAGGTGTCTGCTTAGAGCCTTTTGAGAAGAGGACTTCCCCGAAAGGAGACTCTTCAATCACTGACTGCTATGGACCTTTCTCAGGACAGCTAATTGCCACCATGAAAGAAGCATGTCGATACTCACTGCAAGTGAAACCTCAGCGCTTGATGGCAGCTATGTACACATGCGACATCATGGCCACCAGTGATGTTCTTGGTAAGAAAGGAAAGGGAAAGACCATGAGAGATTCCCTGATCAACAGTGAAATCCTCTAGATCCTAAGTTCTAAAGGAATTTAGAAGCTAGATAATCTTCTAATTTACTAAGAAATTGAGATTTTTGAAAGCCAGGGGTCTTAAGTATTAAAATCTTGAGGGAGGGGAATATGTGACTATTAAGATCTTTTCATTTGCTACAAATAGGATCTTTTGTTCCCTTTAATAATGAAAGGTCTGGTAAATGAGGATTAAACTGCTCTTACATGCAGCATTTTTTTTCAAGTGAACAAACATATCAATATGGGTAACCAAAGTCATTCTGAAAAGAATCAAAGAAAAATGGCAACATTCTTCTCCTCATAACACTAAAGGGCTGTTGTGAATACTGGGTCCTTTCTGAAAAAGAAAATCATTCGATTTTTTTTTTCTTTTTTATTATTTCACTGCGAATCATTATGTCAAACCCATTTCTGATTTTTGGGATAAGCTGCCTTAGGGATCTCAGAAGAACAGTTCCTGGGATACAGTAGATCTTTTTCTCTGGAGATCATGAACTGTTTCAGTGGTGAAGAGAAAAGAAAGGAAGGTGAGAGAATGGACCAAATTACTAGTTTTCCTCTAGCTCTTGGTCCTTTGAGTCAGTGCATGGTTAATTTCTTTTTAGCAAGCTTTTTTTGCCGATTAATTTCTGAAAACAGAAATCTAAGCACTGCCCACCCCCCGCCAAAAAAAAAGAAATTTAGGCTTGCATCAAAGTAAGATTCCTATGAGACAAAATGAGCATCCATAGGAGCACTTTAGAAGCAGTTGGGTTAAACAAGACACATAGATTGAGTAACTGCAAGACTACTTAAGGCAAATGAATCATGTCTCCAAATATGATGTACAATACAATATTTCACAACCCAATTTGAGTACAACATACCTATCAGCTTCTCATGGAATCCATAAATTAGTTTGAGGAACACCTATCTTGGCTATTCCCAGACGTTATTTTACATTTTAATTAAGGGCATTTTTAAGAAAGCAGAAATAGAGTTAAAATCAAGGAATCCTGATTCCTTCAAATTCTTAAAGAAGGGTTTTTCTCCAGTCTTTCTGACCCTGGCAGATGCCATACCACCCTATTTGAGTGACTAGAGGATGTCTTTCCTATATTGAGCATTAAGTGTATCTCCTACTAGTTTCTAACCAGGGTATAGTTTGTCTCTATTCTACTCTCTTCTTCATTTTAAGGGAGTTGATTTTTTCCTTTACATCCAGGAGAAAACTCAAGATTCTTCAGCTGTTTTCATGACTTGTGAACCTTTTCACCATTCCAGTTGCTGTCCTTTACATATGCTTTATTTGATCAATATCCCTCTTAAGAAAGAAGCCACCTTATAGATAATACAGTCAGTACAGAACAGACACACTGTTACCTCCCACATAAGAGTTTAGCAATTGCATCATAAGTTCAGATAGCCCCATTTCTATTGTTAAAGCTGTTATATCTTCCTCCTCTATTCCCCAAAAAGCAGAATCCAAATTTTGTGGATTGCCTAAGCTATAGAAATTATAGTCTCATAAACTTCTGTATATATGTACCAGTAATCTGAGTCTATACAATTTTTCTTAGATTACATATATAATAAACAAAAACAATAGTAAAGGAAAAAATTAATGATAGGAAATATTTTATTTTTTATTTTATTTTTTTTTAATTTTTTATTGTTGGCTGTTCAAAACATTACATAGTTCTTGATATATCATATTTCACAATTTGATTCAAGTGGGTTATGAGCTCCCATTTTTACCCCATATACAGATTGCAGAATCACATCAGTTACACATCCATTGATTTACATATTGCCATACTAGTGTCTGTTGTATTCTGCTGCCTTTCCTATCCTCTACTATCCCCCCTCCCCTCCCCTCCCCTCCCCTCCCCTCCCCTCCCCTCTTCTCTCTCTGCTCCCTCTACTGACATTCGTTTGTCCCCCTTATATTATTTTTCCCCTTCCCCTCACTTCCTCTTGTATGTACTTTTGTATAACTCTGAGGGTCTCCTTCCATTTCCATGCATTTTCCCTTCTCTCTCCCTTTCCCTCCCACCTCTCATCCCTGTTTAATGTTAATCTTCTTCTCATGCTCTTCGACCCTACTCTGTTCTTAGTGACTCTCCTTATATCAAAGAAGACATTTGGCATTTGTTTTTTAGGGATTGGCTAGCTTCACTTAGCATAATCTGCTCTAATGCCATCCATTTCCCTGTAAATTCTATGATTTTGTCATTTTTTAATGCAGAGTAATACTCCATTGTGTATAAATGCCACATTTTTTTTATCCATTCATCCATTGAAGGGCATCTAGGTTGGTTCCACAGTCTAGCTATTGTGAATTGTGCTGCTATGAACATTGATGTAGCAGTGTCCCTGTAGCATGCTCTTTTTAGGTCTTTAGGGAATAGACCGAGAAGGGGAATAGCTGGGTCAAATGGTGGCTCCATTCCCAGCTTTCCAAGAAATCTCCATACTGCTTTCCAAATTGGCTGCACCAATCTGCAGTCCCACCAGCAATGTACAAGTGTACCCTTTTCCCCACATCCTCGCCAGCACTTGTTGTTGTTTGACTTCATAATGGCTGCCAATCTAACTGGAGTGAGATGGTATCTTAGGGTGGTTTTGATTTGCATTTCTCTGACTGCTAGAGATGGTGAGCATTTTTTCATGTACTTGTTGATTGATTGTATGTCCTCCTCTGAGAAGTGTCTGTTCAGGTCCTTGGCCCATTTGTTGATTGGGTTGTTTGTTCTCTTATGTCTAATTTTTTGAGTTCTTTGTATACTCTGGATATTAGGGCTCTATCTGAAGTGTGAGGAGTAAAGATTTGTTCCCAGGATGTAGGCTCTCTATTTACCTCTCTTATTGTATCTTTTGCTGAGAAAAAACTTTTTAGTTTGAGTAAGTCCCATTTGTTGATTCTAGTTATTAACTTTTGTGCTATGGGTGTCCTATTGAGGAATTTGGAGCCCGACCCCACCGACTGTAGATCGTAGCCAACTTTTTCTTCTATCAGACGGCGTGTCTCTGATTTGATATCAAGCTCCTTGATCCATTTTGAATTCACTTTTGTGCATGGCGAGAGAAAGGGATTCAGTTTCATTTTGTTGCATATGGATTTCCAGTTTTCCCAGCACCATTTGTTGAAGATGCTATCCTTCCTCCATTGCATGCTTTTAGCCCCTTTATCAAATATAAGGTGGTTGTAGTTTTGTGGATTGGTTTCTGTGTCCTCTATTCTGTACCATTGGTCCACCCGCCTGTTTTGGTACCAGTACCATGCTGTTTTTGTTACTATTGCTCTGTAGTATAGTTTGAAGTCTGGTATCGCTATACCGCCTGATTCACACTTCCTGCTTAGCATTGTTTTTGCTATTCTGGGTCTTTTGTTTTTCCATATGAATTTCATGATTGCTTTCTCTATTTCTACCAGAAATGCCGTTGGGATTTTGATTGGCATTGCATTAAACCTATAGAGAACTTTTGGTAATATCGCCATTTTGATGATGTTAGTTCTGCCTATCCATGAACAGGGTATATTTTTCCATCTTCTAAGATCTTCTTCTATTTCTCTCTTTAGGGTTCTGTAGTTTTCATTGTATAAGTCTTTCACCTCTTTTGTTAGGTTGATTCCCAAGTATTTTATTTTTTTTGAAGATATTGTGAATGGAGTGGTTGTCCTCATTTCCATTTCAGAGGATTTGTCGCTGATATACAGGAATGCCTTTGATTTATGCGTGTTGATTTTATATCCTGCCACTTTGCTGAATTCATTTATTAGCTCTAATAGTTTCTTTGTAGACCCTTTTGGGTCTGCTAGGTATAGAATCATGTCATCTGCGAATAGTGATAATTTCAGTTCTTCTTTTCCTATTTTGATGCCTTTAATTTCTTTCGTCTGTCTAATTGCTCTGGCCAGTGTTTCGAGAACTATGTTGAACAGAAGTGGTGAGAGAGGGCATCCCTGTCTTGTTCCAGATTTTAGAGGGAATGCCTTCAATTTTTCTCCATTCAGAATGATGCTAGCCTGAGGCTTAGCATAGATTGCTTTTACAATATTGAGGTATGTTCCTGTTATCCCTAGTTTTTCTAGAGTTTTGAACATAAAGGGATGCTGTACTTTGTCAAATGCTTTTTCCGCATCTATCGAGATGATCATATGATTCTTATTTTTAAGTCTATTGATGTGGTGAATAACATTTATTGATTTCCGTATATTGAACCAGCCTTGCATCCCAGGGATGAATCCTACTTGATCATGGTGCACAATTTTTTTGATAAGTTTTTGTATCCGAGTGGCCAGAATTTTATTGAGGATTTTTGCATCTAGGTTCATTAGAGATATTGGTCTGTAGTTTTCTTTCTTTGAAGTGTCTTTGTCTGGTTTAGGTATCAGGGTGATGTTGGCCTCGTAGAATGAATTTGGAAGTTCTCCCTCTTTTTCTATTTCCCGAAGTAGCTTGAAAAGTATTGGTATTAGTTCCTCTTTAAAGGTTTTGTAAAACTCTGCTGTATACCCATCCGGTCCTGGGCTTTTCTTAGTTGGTAGTCTTTTGATGGTTTCTTCTATTTCCTCAATTGATGTTGGTCTGTTTAGGTTGTCTATATCCTCCTGACTCAATCTGGGCAGATCATATGACTTAAGAAATTTATCTATGCCTTCACTATCTTCTAATTTATTGGAGTATAAGGATTCAAAATAATTTTTGATTATCTTCTGTATTTCTGAAGTGTCTGTTGTGATATTGCCTCTTTCATCCCGTATGTTAGTAATTTGAGTTCTCTCTCTTCTTCTCTTCGCTAGCATGGCTAAGGGTCTGTCGATTTTGTTTATTTTTTCAAAGAACCAACTTTTAGTTTTGTCAATTTTTTCAATTGTTTCTTTTGTTTCGATTTCATTAATTTCAGCTCTGATTTTAATTATTTCTTGCCTTCTACTTCTCTTGCTGTTGTTTTG